TGATTACTGTGTCTTTATTAGTTATTAGTATTATTAGTTACTATTATTAAGTACAGTGATCATGTGAACAGACACAAACTTATGAAAAGTCTCTCCAGCTGTTAAAGCCGACTGACAGCTGATCCAGCTGTGATCAGCTGATCCTCTGTCATCAGAAACAGACGTCGCTTCACGTTACGCAACTGAGGAAAGGACGTCTCATGTCTCTTAAAACATATTTCCTCGTTCCTCTCTCCATGCATGGTTTCCTCCATGCATCCCTGGTGGGAGGGAATGTACCCATAAACAGGCGGGGATACAACATTTGACATGACACCGGAAGTACTCTGCTGTGGGGAGCCTGCAGTAAACTGCTGAAGCGTAACGCGTTGTAGCTTTGAACGAAGCGATGACGACAGACGGACCGAGCCCGTTTCTGTTTATTAGTACTGTAGCCATTTGTACACGTGGGGGACGTGTATGTGCGAACAACACGCATAACGTCAGCTATTCATTTGTGTCCGATTGAATCGTTTTTTTGGACCATTTTGGATATGGTGCTTGAATTTACCGTGGAAACATGAAAACACAGTGACTACGAGCAACATTTTCCAAAAGGTGAGTCTCTCTGTGACGTTAGCCAGCGCTCACGTTACGGTAACAGCTAGCTGCGTTGTGTTGTTGCTTTTACTTTTTTACGTTTTATAATGAAATGTTATTTCCGTCATCTTGTGAGAGAGAGCTGGTTACTTCACGGTCCACTGGGTGATGAGACGACAGGGCGGTGGGTCCCTGCTCTGTCTCCAGTAACGCTAACTTCAAATGTGAACGTCAGAGTGAACTACGGCACCAGACACGTTGTTAAACTACAGTGCTTTCTAATATCAGTATTACTGTGTTATTTATGGCGTTATTTGGGCTACTAGGCATAGTTACTCTTTGTGTATCTTCGTTGCCGTTTATTTCCTCTTCGCAGAGCGGAACAGGTGTAGGCTAACGTAAACATGCTGGTCCGTCACACATGCTAGTTTAAAGAATTAACTTTATTTTAATATGATTTGGCCATTCATACTCCGTCATGGTGTCAGTCTGTGCTGCTCTTTAAGTTCCCAGTTACAGCGTTGAGTGAAACAGTTGAATAACTGTATTTAACACTGCTACACATGAGTTGATGTTGACCTCATGCTGTCATAAAACCTGTGTGTGTGTGTGTGTGTGTGTGGACACAAGACCATTTAGTGAGTTTAAGTGGAACAGGAAAGAAAAGGCCTTCTAGGCACAGATTGATTTCTGCTACTGATAAGAAATAGCTGAGTGTGTGCATTTCGGTGTTCCTCAATTACTATAAGTGAGTGGAGAATATAAATTAGAGTGGCCTGAGCAAGACTGAACTGACTGAGCTGTCAAGGGGTGATTGAGGTGTTGGTGTTGCTGGGTCTGGAGCAGAACCTTTTCGACCTTGTGTTTTGTCTGCTGCTTATCCTCCACACTTTCTCATCTCAGGAACCCTCAAGCTAAACAACCAGCGTCTGTAAAGGAGCGGTATCCAGAACATGCTAACCAAACCCCATGGTTTAATGTTGTTGTTTTTTCGTTTTGCACGGTGGGACAGTGTGTCTTAACACATGAGACAATGAGACCCCTTATCCCGTCGGCCCTGTATAGTTTGGTGCTGAGAGAGGGGGGTTGGAGAGACTTACAGAGATAAAGGACTAGAATGTTAAAGTCCCCCTCTGCTGTGTTGCTGATTGCTGCCTCACTTGTTTCAGCTTCACTGTGCACATTCATCCGTTGTAGGGGCAACGTTTGTGTATCCACGGCCATGATTTTGTGATCTGTACACTGCTGATGATTACATCCAAAAGACAAGATTTATTAGCATTGTACAGATCGATTACTACTTTCTTTTTCTGCTTGTTAAACTTTTTTAATACTTATTTTGTCACTGTGCTGTTACAAAAAACAAAGTTGTTCTCTGGGGATCAATTTAGGCTTATCTTATCTCCCATTTTGTTAGCCTAGCTTATCTGGCTTTGCTACAAAATCAGTATAAATAGAGACTGAAATGTGGTTCAGTCGTGATTCAAGAGAACTCCCTCTGGTCATCCATTTATGTTTTTCAGTAGCTTATATCAGGCTCTTATATCAGCTGACATTCCTGTTGACACCGTGGACGTGTGAGGAACCTCTCTGCCTCTGTTATGACTATTTCATGCCCCGACCTTAGACGACCCCTTGGACGTTTGCGGTGTTGACTTCGGCCTCGCACGTGTTGCCAACACAGATAAGTTTGACTCACTGGACCAGTTAGGAAGGACGCAAAGTGTGTTTTTCACAGCTCCTTTGAGAGAGCTTTGAAGCAGCAGGCAGTCGGTTATAATTGAATTGTAGCCAAGAATTGTGTCCTCTTAAGAATGACGCAGCTGTCTTTGGGTCTTGTTACCAACATCTGCCTCACAACTGCTGACAAACAAACGGAAACTCCAAACCTAGATGCCAAAAAATTCCAAAAAAAAATGTGCAGTCAGTGAAAAAACGAGTTGTCCGACTACATCCTCTTCCACAGCTGAAAAAGAAAATGTTTAATTTTGTTGTCTGATGTTCTACTGAAGTTGGGCAACTTTTGTTGCCTGTTTATTATCTGTATTTTAGGAACAAGTGCAGAGTCCTGAGGTAGGATGAATGTGAGCCTAGCTCTATTATGGGTCTGACCTTTCAACAAGTCACAACAAGCCAAGCAGCCACACCGTCGGTGGCAATACTGTGAGAGGGGAAAATAGCTTTTTCAGTCCCGTGGTGTGTACGTTGGGAGTGGACTCTCGGATTCTGGACTCGATGCACATTAAAGAGGGACACAATTTGTTGCCAGCTTTAGAGTGCTGGTTCCAGTGGCAAAGCCTCAATGGAAAGTCTTTAAAACCGCACCTAGTCAGGTCATTTGATTTGGTCTATACACTCTGCTGTTCCGAGTGGCTCACATACTCTCATTAGACTGCAAGTTGTTAGAGATTTTAGTTCTGTCTGATACTTAAGTGTTTATGCCACATGCCTCCATAAATCCCAGACTCATATCTGACCTCTGTTGCACTTCTTCGCACACAGCTTTTCTTTACAGCCGCTTTACAGCTTCTCACGGCCTCTTGTCAGAATGTAAAGGGATTCCTGCATCTCTAAGCAGTGCAACCTTGGCAGCAGGGCGTCTGGAAGACAAAATCCTCGCTCTGTTATGGTAAAGATGCCGCTGACTTTTGTTCTGTCCTGTTGCCCTTGCAGTTTCCCCAGACCTTCCTACATCAGGATGAAGGAACGGACAGATGCTCCTCAGGACCGGTGAGTTACAATTAGATGGAAACAAGAAACTCTCACTTCCCTTTGTTTGCTTGACACCACAGTTTCTGTTGTCTCTGTTTCTTCAGGCGATGATGTTGCAATTTCAATACATTCATGTCTCTGCTACATATTTAAGTTCACCAGTTGAACGCTTCTAATGTGAAACAGCAGCGGTCGGACATTAGCAGTAACTTAATACAATCCTGCTACCAGGATTGGGAAGGTTACTTTAAAAATGTACTCCAATACAATTGTTAATAACCTGTTGCCCTGCCGGAGGGGAGGGAGGCATATGAGAACCAGGACAGAGTCAGAACCTGCTGCAGTAAAATGAGAAGTTTTCTAAAGGGACTCGGAAAAACACGAGCACTTTTGTCCACAGGGAGCGCTAAAATCAACACCAAAGTAACGTAGCTTGATTACTTTCTCTTACTACAAAATATGCAAATAAAGACAAGAGAAAAGAAAAATGCTGACATTTGGCCCTGATTTTGAAAAAGCAGAAGAAGGGGAACAAAAGCACAGTACAGTGCGAGTTATTCCTTCCAGCTGTGAAAATACTGTCATCCTGCAAAGACGCACATCATTTGGCACATTAGTGTTACTTGATTAGATTGTGGAGCAGCAGCAGTACCCATATAAATATAATAAAATATCACAGTCCTGTGTTATGCTTACTGGATGCTTCTCTTCTCACGCTGGGATGCCTCTCGTCAAAAAGAATAATCATCAGTTTAGATCCATTTTTGGAGAAACGACTGTACGTAGAGGTGATTACAGAATGTAAATACTTTAACTGGCCAGTGCTGCAGCATCCTCGTTGTACATTGTAACACCCTTTGCTTCCCATCTACAGGGGCTGCCTGGTGGGGATCTGTTTCTTCATTCTGGGCCTGGGAACGTTGCTGCCATGGAACTTCTTCATGACTGCCTCAATGGTAAAACCATGGCCATTACTTAATCCGTCAAAGACGGCAGAACTGACACATTGTATATGCCTTCTGTTTTGATATCTCATGACATAAAACCATTAGACTCAGTCAATAAGTCGGGGGTATCTCATCGTTCTCCCTGTCAGATCTGCGTAGAAGCCTTTCTCTGAAGTGTTGGTCCGGTGGTTCACCACTTAAACCTCTTAGAGAATCACATGCTGGACGGATGCCAATGGTCTTATGGACAATAAGCTGTTTATACAATTCAAGAAAATGTCTAGAAAAGCTATAGTATCTACCATAAGTTGATACTGGATTGGATTTGTCAAATTGGTATTTTGTAGTGATCTGTTTAAGTGATTTGCTGATGTCGTACTGAGTATAATGTGTTAAAACCTAAGGATCCATAGGGACCCATACATCCACACAGTATGGGACTCAAGGTAACCACGCAGGTAACTCAAGGTAACCACACGAGACCATGTGATCCACATGTTTGGGTTTCCACCAACAGCACCTGTTGTTGCGGTGAGGTTGAACCCAAACAGTGCAGTTGTGGGTTGTAAAACCAAAACACAATGAGCTGCTCGGCTCTAGAACATAGGCTAGAAAGAATTCTTTGTGGGTTCGTTACACATAATCATTTGACACATTGTTGACACAAAGAAATGACAAGTACAGCTTTAAATGATCGGGGATTTAACTGTTCCTCTACTTGTTTAAAACATATCAGAATACAAAAGCAGAAGTACATCTTCTGCTTATATGATAGGTTATTTTGAGTTAACAAACTGAAACGGCTCCATTGGGGAACAAACCAACAATGTTAACTGAACATGTAAATGTGAAAGAGTGGAGCGTTGAGGTGACACTAAAGCGGGGATTTACCTTCCATCGTTGGTTAATACAGAATATGTTTCCATGTAAAGATAAAGCCAACATCTGTCTGTCCTCTGGGTTTGCAGTATTTCCAAAGTCGCCTAAACACAACAGAACAGAGCGACGGCACCGCGGTGGTCACCAAAGAGTACTACTTCAACAACTGGATGACCCTGCTGTCCCAGCTGCCCCTGCTGGTGTTCACCCTGCTCAACTCCTTCCTGTACCAGAGGTCAGTGACAGGGTTGGATGTTCACATAATGTTTGTCCATACACAGAGGGATGGCAATACTCCCCAAAGCATTGAATCTAATCAGTGTTGTGCATTTGCTCTGGACTTTGCATGTATAACCTGGTCTCATGCCAAAGTATTCATCTGTGGTTTGTATCTGATCCAGTTTGAGTTCTTGGTTAAATGACTCGTTTCTTGTTTCAGGATATCGGAGGCAATACGCATCGCAGGTAGCCTGGTCTTCATCCTGCTGCTCTTCATCCTCACAGCCGTGCTGGTCAAAGTTCCCATGGACCAAGACCGCTTCTTCTCTGTCACCATGGCAATTATCTGGTTCATCAACTGTAAGTCGGTGTGACTGTGTGTGAGGCTCAGAGTAGTGTACATATACGTACATTTTAGTGAAAGGGATAGTTTGAAGTGGTGTTGTATGAGGTACGTCTCCACAGGCAGCAAAACATACGATAGACACCTCAAAAAAATCAGTATCAGTGTAAGCTATACTCGCTGTCAGACAGCCCTTCCAAACTCCATCTACTGTCAGTAATACACTGATTAAGGATCTCATACACCACCACTTCAAAAACAAATATCCAAACTGGCCCTTTTAAACAGTGCTGAATCAAACGATGCTTCTTCTCCCCAGCGTTCGGGGCCGTGCTGCAGGGCAGTCTGTTCGGCCTGGTGGGTCTCCTCCCTCAGAAGTTCAGCTCCATCTTCATGAGCGGCCAGGGCCTCGCCGGGACCTTCGCTGCCATCGCCATGCTGCTAGCCATAGCCAGTGAGCCGCCCACATGCACACAAAATCCCCAGTTCCCTAGTAACGGAGGAGAGTGAAAGTGGATGTCGAGCTAGTCAAAGCAGCATGACGACACACAACACACACACAGTAGTGTTTTCTTCATCTGATAGGTGTCTGTCTAGAATGATCTGACTTGTGTGTTTGTCACTCAGGTGACACGGACTCTGAGACCGCAGCGCTGGGTTACTTCATCACGCCATGTGTGGGGACGCTGCTCACTCTCTTCAGCTACCTGCTGATGCCCCGCCTGGTCAGTCAGCGCCCAGCTCTCCATGACTACATTACCCATAATCCCTTCAATCTCACCTAAACAGCTACCATCTCTTTGTTGACCCATGACCATTAGATCAGTATATACAAAATCTGGCTTTTTCAGATGGTGTTTGCTTTATTTGGATTGTGGGAAAACTTTCAGCACACAGTCAAATTTGAATCAAAGATAAATGTTTGCAAATGATCAAAGATTATGTGATGATCAAATCCTCAAAGGTGAAACAGGAGCCTCGCTCTAATTACATGTGAAGTTACTTCACTTTTGTCCGAGATTGTCAAGAAAAATACTTTTCTAGAATCTCACTAAACTCTATCTCAAGAGAGAGGTATTAGCCAAACTGCATTTATCACGTTTTTATTTTTTCACTTGTTGTATTTCAGCTAAGAGGCCTAATTTGTGTTGTCTGGTGTTTGCACGCAGGCGTTTGCCCAGTACTATCTGAACAAAAGCAACAAGTATGAGGCAGACACCACGGACAAGTTGCTGAAAGGTGAGACTTTGGCTTCAACAAACTCCTTGTTCACACCCTCTGAATTACTGTCATTCGTCTCCAAGTTGGCACCACGGGGACACGTTTCATCATGTGTTTGAAAGTTTGAAGTGCAGGTTCTTTCACGTTTGTAGAACTGAGAGGATCAAACATTTGTTTGACAGCGAGAGAGAATCTGTTTGCTTTGCCACCGAGTTCACAATTCTGTGCTTCGCTTGTTCAGTGCTGAATCAAATTAATTTGGTGGAACATTATCTCGTTAAGGGAGTTGACCCTCTATTTATCCAATTAGAGTCCTGGCAGTGCCCAGACAAAGACCGAGCCTGTTGGACTCAGAGGACCACACAGACTCAAACTGTTTTTGGAATAATCTGTGTATATTCCCTTGCAGAGAGCAGCACAGTGGAGAACGGCAAGCCGAATGCTAACGGCACAGGGACCAGCAGCACGAGCAAGGCTGGCAGTGCAGCTGAGGTCGAGGTGGACCCCGGTCCAGAGGGTCCACCGGGAGCCTTCCTGTCACTGGAGCAGGTCGAGAAGGGACAAGCTAAGGCCTCGGTCATAGAGGTCTTCAAAAAGGTGTGATAGTTGTGATTTTGGCAGTGTATACTACCTCCAGTAGATGGAGTAGCAGAACGGGGACAGCAGCCAAAGACAGGAGTTGCTTACCATAAAATGTTTTGCTTCTGCCTCTGTCTACAGTAGTACATTACGTTGCTCCTGTGCTGGTTCTCATGTCTATTTCTCCGTACCCCATCTACTGCAGTAATACGCTGACTGTTGATAGGAACCTCATACAACACCACTTAGAAAAATCCCAAATGCCCCTTTTAAAATAAGAGCGTTTCATTCCCAGTGAAAGTGAAGAAATATTTACAGGTTTTGTCCTTCCTTTCCTTTGTAGATCTGGGTGATGGCGTTCTGTGTGACGTTTGTGTTCACAGTCACTCTGTCCGTCTTCCCGGCTGTCACTGCAGATGTCAGGACCTCATTCCCAGGAAACTGGGGTATGACATCGACTCAGTTAATGATTAGATCACTGCCGCATTCAACATACAGTAAATCTCTCGTGTGTGGTGGTCAAATCCCTCCTTTCTCCTATTTCTCTTTGTAGCGTTACTGCTTGTAGAAGTTTTAATAACAATTCATTAATTATTTCAAAATGTCTGGGGTTGTGCAGATCCCCCTTCAGCGTCAAAGTCCAAAGTAGAAAAGCTTTTTTCTGACTTCTCTTGCTCTTAACTTCTTGAGAAAGAGGCTGCAGTGTTTGACAGCAACAGCAAACCAACCCTAAGTGTTGATAATTTAATTTATTCTCTCTATGCAGAATGGTACTAAGCACTTTATTTATAAATCACTGAATAAAAGCTGATCAATTAACGTAAGAATGAATTAAACAATTATTCAGCATAGACACAGACAGACCTATGTAGAACTACATGTGTACCTATATGCATGCTAATTGAATGGATAGGAATAACCTCAACATTTGTGTCCTGGGTGAGGACTAGCCAGGGAGGGGGAGAACATCCCTCCCCTTGCTTTACAAATACAGAGAATTTGTTACTCTGAGGTAGATTTAAAATGGATTTATAAAATACAAGACTAGGACTAACGTATCAATGAGGAAAAGGTACATGAGAAAGTAGTTTATTAATAATTGGATGTGTCTCTGTCTCCCTCAGGGATGTAGATGCTCATACAACAAGAAGGGGGGGGGTCATAAAACCATGTAGGCTCAGCCTTTACGAGTGTCAAGAGTCCTGTCCACTGTGGGTGAACTGTAAATGTAGAGCACCCAATACGAAGGAGTTTGAAAACGCTACAGATGCCGTGTTAGTTTGAAAACTCCGGGGTCGTGCTAGTGTGGACGTACGCAGAACCGCAGACCTTGGAAAACGATGACGTAGACACCGGTGTTCTCTACCGGATTGAGTCTTAGCAGTCACGACGTGTCGCTGATTCGTCACAAACAAAACAAACGACAGCCTTTATTACCGATCGACTACCAGGTTAATTCAACATGGACGACAGATTGTGGATGCAGCCTCAGTGACCTAGGGGTCATTGGAGAAGTCTCTGTGAGAGGTTTGTTAGTTCAGATTTTGTCATCGTTGTTTTTATCAGACTTGAGTTTTTATCATCTTTCTGTCGTCTGTCCCGTCTCTCTTCAGAGCGCTACTTCATCTCGGTGTGCTGCTTCTTGGTTTTCAACATCAACGACTGGTTCGGTCGGACCGTCACCACCGTGATACGTTGGGTGAGTATCTGATAAGGTCCTTCAGACATTTATTCTTTATATATCGTTATTTATTATGCATATTAGTATCCCTGTCCAGATCCACATGGCAGCACATGTTCATAAACCTCTGGTGTAATAATCTCACCGACTACACTATGCATGTCCATCAGCTCCTTCCTGACTGCTGGAGAGCCCACAGCCGGCACATTCAGCTTTAATTCTGGAGGTGGTGACAAGAACAGGACTGAGTTTAAACTGGGTTACAAATTGCATTTTTTACAAGGTTAATTTCCTGCTGTCATTTTCTCTATCAACGTCATATATTATTTCTAAATATAATCTGACGGTTGAGGCTTAACTGTGTAATCCCAATGCTTTGCCTTTCCCCCTTCTACTTTGTTGTTGTTCCAAATCCGCTTTCCTTTTTCTCTCCCTCCTCTCATTGGATTTTTTTCTCTCCCGTCTCCTCTGCAGCCTCGCAAAGAGTCCCGTCTGTTCCCGGTGCTCGTGGTCTCCAGGGTGGTGTTCGTTCCTCTGCTGATGCTCTGTAACGTCCAGAGTCGCTCCTTCCTTCCCGTCTACTTTGGCCATGATGCTGCTTTCGCCGTCATCATGACTCTCTTCTCTCTGTCCAGTGGCTACTTTGTGTGTCTCTCCATGTCCTACGCACCACAGTGAGTCCAAATAAGTTCATCACTGTCGCTATAAAAACGTATATCACTCCTTAAAGACAGCTGCATCTCACTGTAGGAGAATCAATAACCAGAACTCTTCTAATAAAGAAGAAATATATCTTGTATATAAGGATTGATATCAGACAGGCGATATCAAAGAGGCAATCAAGGAGATCTGTCTTATGTACAAGTTAAAGATGAGTCTGACCTACGACATTATTCCTCTATATTCTAGCAACAAATTTATAATTCATAGCATCACACTGAGTGAAAAGTTCTTGGAATCCCGTGTGGGTATGGCGGACTCCACCACTACCAATGAAAATGACTGCACAGAGAGGTATGAACATAATGTATGGCTCAGTTGGCTAAATACGACATGACTGACCTTCTGTTCCCTCCTCTCTCCTCAGGTTGGTGGAGCAGAAGGATGCAGAGACAGCAGGGGCCCTGATGACTTTCTTCTTGGCCCTGGGTCTGTCCTTAGGAGCCGCCCTGTCCTTCCCTCTGCGGGCTCTCGTCTAGTCACACAGACATGCAGCACTGCATAGACACCGTAGAATATGTTCACACATACTTGGAGGGAGAATTTGGATAACTGTTATTTGTTTTTCCTGGACGTCCTTCTCGTTTTATTGCATTCATCTGTCGGGTGCTGTGTGTGTGTGTTACGGTTTGACGGTCTGGGAAACCAAGCACCCTGGTGACGCTGTAAAAACACCCTAGTGAAGTAGTATTGTTCATAAATGACATGAAAGTAGGAATAAGGGAAAAACTGTACGTTGCTCTGATTGACTGGTTAGCTTTTTTTGGGGACTTTTTACGTTGACTTATTTTTTTCTTCATTTTTAGATGTATTTATTTAAAATTTAGGTTTGTTGTAGGTAGTTTTCGTGCATTATCATACTTTTTTTTATTTGATTGATGGCTTGAATTCTTGTTTTTGTAAGATTGATTACATTAGGTATTTCAATGTATTCCTAGGTTTATTTAGTATTTTCTAATGAAATAGCTCTATGTTACAGATGTAGAACAAAAGAAAAAGCTTAAAGACCTGCATCATGAGCATTTATGGATTACTGAATGGGTCAACTGGGCACAGGCTCAGGGCCCCAAGTGGGGCCCCCTGCACCATTGCCTCGGTTTGAAATGACAGGTAACAGTTCCTGTTGGAAAGTCAATCAAATTACCATAAAGACACTGAACAGACTCGAAACGACCGCGGAGAGACTCGAAACGAATGCAGAGACTTGCTCGAAACTTACGCAGAGAGACTCGAAGGGACCGCAGAGAGAGACTCGAAGCGACTGCAAATAGACAAATGTTTAAAGTGGTTTTGTGTCTCTTTCAGTCTGGGGTTCTCTTGTTTTGTTCGTTTTATAATTTGTCTACTTTTTTGTTTTACTTTTTTGCCGATTCCCTTTTTTCTTGACCTCTCCAGTGCAGCAATACAAAGCTGCAGCATTGTTTGTCTCTCCAGCATCAAGGCTACTTCTGCCACCTACTGGTCAAAAGATGGAAACCCTTCAGAGCTTCATTTCATTTTTATTTGGTAGGGACAAATACATATACATAGAGAATTGCAAAACAACTATCCAATGCAGTGTATCACAGCATTTTTAACTACTGCTAATTTCCAATGGTCGTCCCTAGAAAGCCTTTAAAATACCTTCATTTCCTTTGCTGAAAGAATCTGTCAATCACAGAAGGCTGTGATTGACAGATTCAATGTGATTGTGATTGAGGTTGTGAGGTCATACGATGCTGCTAGCTGACCTTGTAATACATGCCAGAGTTATGACCACATTCTTCTATTGACATGACGCTATGATGCAAGTCTTGGCTCAGTACAAGTGGGTCTACTTTGAGTTCATTTAAACCTTTAAAGGACAGCTGGTGGCTGCTGTTTAGTCACTAAATGTACTGATGTTGCTGTAAGCCATGAAATCATGCGGGAATAAGAGCATTGTATTGCACAGATATTGTATTGGCCATTTAACATTGGTAAATAGTGTTGGATTTTTTTATTTGACATTTCTAACAATGTGCCATCATGCTTAAATCACAAATAGTTTGATTTGTTGGGATTATTTTTTTCATTAGATAAGAAGGAACTCATTGCTCCAGATTGATTTGTCAGCACCAGTCTATTGAGATTGAGCTTTTTTTGGGAATCATTTTCTTTTGCTTAAGTGCCCAATAAGATTGGTTTATATGCTTATTATTCAAGTGTTTATTGAATTGAATGAATAAGGTGTCATGTTCATGTAGATGGAGAAAACTTGTGTTTCAGCTGCTTCAAACGCACCAAGGGCTGAGTCCTCACGAAGGGAGCGATATTAATAGGACACTTTTTTTTTTTTTTTAAACATGACTTTCTTTGTGCTGCCTTCATGTTTAGCGGGAATTTTCCCTCCGAACCGAGCAAACATGCATTTGTGTTTACAGCAAACGCAATGCAAAAAGAGACAAACATCATTTGTGTATTTCAAAAATGATGTCTTGTCGAGTTCAAATGCAGTTGATGCTCACTTTAAACCTGTTAAACCTGATGTAATAGGGATGAAGAACTTGAGTCAGAAGAATCCAAACTGTTACAATTTCCTTTCTACTTCTAAACTTGTATAAAGAACGTGGGTTTGGGTAGTTGTCATGCAGTGCATAGCTGCAGGTCATAACAGTCATAATGAGCTTTAATAATGACGAAACCCGGTTTAAAGGGTTAATGTTGTGTTCACATCATATTGGACTGACTGTAAATACTGCCGTCGGCCTCCTCGTGGTGAGAACAGTAAAGAATTCTTCATTGGCAACAAAACGAGAGCAATCCCAGGTCGCTGCGTTCAAGGCTCCACGTCACACTGTCGTGTTTGCTCTGGTTTGGTATGAATACTTGATGTGATCCATTATGGGCAGTTCACTGGTGCTCCGTAGAAACAGATGCTGGCAGACACAGGATCGACACTGGACTACCAAAACGGTTGTCTGTATACTATATACATACTTAGTGTGATTAATCACACCTGTGTGTACCCTACAGGTCAACATTGCTGCTGTGAAGGGCTGACATGGACTCCACACACTGGAGGAGGCGTTTCAGAGTAGTTTGTCTGTGTGAAAGACTATTTACACCTTTTGTTCACCAAGATAATCTTCACAAATGAATACCATGTTTTTGATTTATTTTTAAGTATGAATGCAATTGGCAGGAGTAAAAAAACATCAGGACTACAAACAAACTACGCCACTGGTGTAAAGGCAGATTAGTTGCTGTGATGGCGTTTTGTAGTCCCATGTAGCCACTCGTTAGCAGCCGCCTCTTCATGCCTTGAGCACCACAGACAGCTGTAGCCGTCTGTTGGTTGTTGTGAACAGGATATTACAGGAAGGCCTGCAGGGAGGTGCTTCAAATTTGGCACGAACGTCCACCTGGAAATTTGAACTGATTAGAATGTGGTGGTCAAAGGTCACTGTGACCTCACAAAAACACATTTTGGGCTGTAACTCAAGATTTGATATTCTATCCATCCATCCATTTTCCACCGCTTATCCGGGGTCGGGTCGCGGTGGCAGCAGGTCAAGCAGGCCGACCCAGACTTCCCTCTCACCGGCAACATGTTCCAGCTCATTCTGGGGGATCCCGAGGCGTTCCCAGGCCAGCTGGGAGATGTAATCTCTCCAGCGTGTTCTGGGTCTTCCCCGGGGTCTCTTCCCAGTTGGACGTGCCTGGAAAACCTCCAGTGGGAGGCGTCCAGGAGGCATCCTAATTAGATGCCCGAACCACCTCAGCAGACTCCTTTCGACGCGAAGGAGTAGCGGCTCTACTCCAAGCTCCCTCCTGATGACCGAGCTCCTTACCCTATCTCTAAGGCTGAGCCCGGCCACCCTACGGAGGAAACTCATTTCGGCCGCTTGTAACCGCGACCTTGTCCTTTCGGTCACGACCCAGAGTTCGTGACCATAGGTGAGGGTAGGAACGTAGACCGAGTGGTAAATTTAGAGCTTTGCCTTCCGGCTCAGCTCCCTCTTCACCAAGACGGTCCGGTGCAGCGCCTGCTTTACTGCTGCAGCCGCACCGATCCGTCTGTCGATCTCCCGCTCCATCTTACCCTCACTCGTGAACAAGACCCCGAGATACTTGAACTCCTTCGCTTGAGGTAGGCACTCCGTCCCCACCTGGAGGGAGCAATCCACCGGTTTCCGGCAGAGAACCATGGCCTCAGATTTGGAGGTGCTAACTCTCATCCCCGCCGCTTCACACTCGGCTGCAAACCGCCCCAGTGAATGCTGGACGTCACGATCCGAGGAGGCTAACAGGACCACATCATCTGCAAATAGCAGAGAGGCGATCCCCGAAACTGACGTTCTCCGCCCCCAGGCTGCGCCTAGATATCCTGTCCATGAAAATCACGAACAGGACCGGTGACAAAGGGCAGCCCTGGTGGAGGCCAACACCCACCGGGAACGTGTCTGACTTATTGCCAAGAATGCGGACACAGCTCCTACTGCAGTCGTACAGAGACCGGATCGCCCGTTGTAACGGGTCCGGCACCCCATACTCCCGCAGCACCCCCCACAAGACCCCCGGTCGAAAGCCTTCTCCAAGTCCACAAAGCACATGTAGACTGGTTGGGCAAACTCCCAGAACCCCTCCAGTAGTCTTGCGAGGGTAAAGAGCTGGTCCACTGTTCCACGGCCGGGACGGAATCCGCATTGCTCCTCTTGAATCTGAGGTTCGACAAGCGGTCGGAGCCTCCTTTCCAGCACCCTGGCATAAGCCTTCCCCGGGAGGCTGAGTAGTGTGATACCCTGGTAATTCGAGCACACTCTCCGGTCCCCCTTTTTGAAAATGGGAACCACCACCCCGGTCTGCCATTCCATGGGCACTGATCCCGACCCCCATGCGACATTGAAGAGGCGTGTCAGCCAGGACAGCCCAACTATGTCCAGTGCTTTCAGCATCTCAGGGCGGATCTCATCCACCCCCGCGCCTTGCCACCAAGGAGCTTTTTGACTACCTCAGCGGCCTCTGCCAGGGATATGGGTGAGCCTCCCCCTAGGTCCTCAGGCGCTGCCTCCTCTGCAGAGGACATGTTGGTCGGTTTAGGAGTTCCTCAAAGTGCTCTTTCCACCGCCCGACGATGTCCTCCGTCCGGGTTAGCAGTTCCCCCCCTCCCCTGCTGAGAACAGCCTGGGGTAAGCCCTGCTTTCCCTTCCTGAGCCGTCGGATGGTTTGCCAGAACCTGCTTGAGGCCAACCGAAAGTCCTTCTCCATGGCCTCCCCGAACTCCTCCCATGCCCGAGTTTTAGCATTCGCGACCACCGCAGCTGCAGCCCTTCTGGCCTGCCGGTACCTGGCAGCTGCTTCAGGAGACCCCTGGGCCAACCAGGCCTTGAAGGTCTTCTTCTTCAGCTTGACGGCTTCCCTCACCTCCGGTGTCCACCACCGGGTTCTCGGGTTGCCGCCACGACAGGCACCGATGACCTTCCGGCCACAGCTCCTAGCGGCCGCGTCCACAATAGAGGCTTTGAACATGGTCCACTCGGATTCCGTGTCCCCAACCTCCCTCGGGATGTGTGAGAAGTTCTTCCGGAGGTGGGAGTTAAAGACCTCCCGGACAGGGTCCTCCGCCAGACGTTCCCAGTTCACCCTCACTACACGTTTGATATTCTAATTATGACAAATTCACACACGATGAAGTGATTGGACAGACATGGATGTAAAGTGCAACTTGATAGGTAGACAATGCTCTCTTTTATATTGCAAATAGTTGTGTGCTGCTATATTAATGCATTGATTTGAGGACTTGCCTCTCTGAGCTTCTGTAGATCTACCTTGAAGAACCACACAGAGCATTCAGATTCATTTCCTGTATTATTTATTGAAAACCCAGCAGTCATTAATACCTGTTGTGTGTGTATGTGTGTGTGTGTACAGGCAGGGGAGTAAGGAGATGTGGTAAACTCAACTAGTTGTCATTCTGTTGTCAAGAAATAAAAAGCAAAGGACAAAAAGAAACACTCCGATATGCTACAGAATGACACCCTTGTTTAGTGTTTTAAAAATGTTACACAAATGCAGAGAAAATAATTATCGCGGGAGAAGAAGAGAGTGCGACAGCAGCTCAGAGGGAGATAAGAAAGAAGATGAAAGACAGGTTTGAGTGCATCTTTTGAAATAGTTTTGTTCGTCTGTTTGCCCTCTCTGCAGTCTGCTGCTTTTACTCATTTTGTGTTGCAAATTCCAACAGGAGACGATCTTTGAAAATCCCCCCCCCTCTCTCTCTCTGTGTGTCTCCTCCTCACTCCGTCTGTCTTCATCGTTTCTTTGGGGGTTGGGCTGTGCGGGGAGGAGTGATGGGCCGACCCGAGTTCATCCCTCCATACTGGTACTTGGCTTTCTTCTCAGATGGCTTCAGGATCTAGGAAACGGACAGAGATAACAGGACGCTCTGTTGTGTGTTTGTCATAAAAGCACCCAGGAAATCCCTCCCAACTGGACTAAACCTGGTCCCACTGTTAAATGTTCTCATTACTGTAACAAAGTCATGTATCTGTGTACTTTTAAAATTAATATTAGTAAACTATAGTCTGAGTGGACTGGTTATTTAATGCTTTGAGAATGAACAAGCAGATGGAGGACGTCAGTCAGACTAATGTAATGTCTCTGGATCATTCTAGTAAGGCTACACTGAGGATGGTAGTTGTAATTTATTTTTTATATATATAAAAAAAAAAAAAAACACCTTGGTAAGTGAACTACTGTATTTACCCTCACACTACACATAAATAAGTGGTGCTATTTTCTGCATGTCGAGTGTCAGCGCGTGATAACTTTCACATGACCATGTCGGTACTCTGCGGTTGCTTCACACCTGGAAGGAGCACATCAGGGTTTCATCCACGCTCATCATGCCGCCGGCGTTGTCGAACTCCCCGCAGTAGTTTGGAGCTGAGAACAGAGTCACCAGCTGCCGCTTGGCAAAGAACTCGTAACCATCTTCTACCACCTGGGGGCGTCAGACACACGGCACCGTCAGTCAGGGAACAACTGCTTTTACATAGACACCACCATGAACTTCTGTCAGCAGCAATGCTCAACTTTAAACCAATAGGTGGATGATGTTTGAATCTGAATGCGTTTGATCGGTCACATAGAGGGGGGGTGTGCGTGTCGTACCTGGTGGGCTCTGCAGATGAGGTCCAGGTCGTGGCGGTTGAGGAACTTGCTGACCACGTCGGCTCCAAAGGTGAAGGAGACGCCGCGGTCGTTTTCTCCCCAGCCCTGGACATCCTTGTCAGGGTCAGACCACAGCAGATCACACAGGAGGCCTGGAAGGAAGAAGGAAAGAAAACACAGAATTAAATACAACTTACTGTTGAGATTCATCTCCATGCGTGACCTCAACTCTGTCACAGCATTAAACAATGTGCTCAGCTGTGCATCTAACTGCTGGAAGTCACCTGTATGTCACATTTACAGTATGCTAGGTATTAAAACACCAAGGCTGCGTATATGTATATACAGACTCAGCCATCTCTGGACTCTCACAGTCTCCCTGAAAGACCATAAGAGGACCTGAGAGAGGGTCTGAACACTAGCGGCCTTATAAGGACAAGAACAACCAGGTTTAGTGAAGAGGGGGCAAAGACTCACTTCCACTGGTTTACTAGGACTCACAGAATGGAATCCCAGTATCTTTTAATAACCTCATTGTCATAGATAATCAACATGATGAACATCATAGAGGAGTCATTCCCTAAGTTAAGAAAGTAGATGAATAGCTTTCACTCCTGGGGCTAAAAGTAGAACCAAAGCTGCGTCACTCTGAGCATGTTTAGCTGCTCGGGGCTGATTTCCTATTCTGAGAAGCTTGATAAATATGGGCTCACATTAGTTTTGACCATAAGCTGCCAGAAGGTGATGAGAAAGGACGTATTTGGTAGTTGGCATATCCAGAGCATACTAAGCATCACAAGTGGATCAGCTGGAGCTGAAACATCGAGGCTGTTCTTCACCACGTGTGATGGTGAACTGGATGTCTGTGGATGTTGGGAGTGATGGTGGAACAAAAGTCAGTTTTCTTCATTTGCTCAGATTTCGTTGACCGAATGATTTAATGAGAAGATAATAGCCAGATCAATCGGAACAACAACATCGTTAGTTGGAGCCTCGAATACTAAATTAACCTAAAACTCAAATGCTACAGAGACCGTCGTAGAATTACCAGTCCTGTTCACGTCCGTCCAAAATGTCATCACTTCGATATTTGTGTGAAATCGTTACTATTAGTCTTTAAAACCTTGTGGTTATTTCATATGTACTATTTATCTATTTCTATTTCTTTAAGTGGCAACACTGCTCTGTGTGTGTGTGTGTGTGTGTGCGCGTGTGTGCGTGCTGACCTACCTGTGTCAGGCACGTCTGTGGGTCTCATGATGCGTCTGATCTGCTCCATAGACTGCAGGTCGGGAGAGAGACCTGTGGGCGACACAAAACCATCCCACTGTCAGCCCCTTAAATATAAATCTCCATATCAGTGAATGAACTTACTGTGACCCATTTATTCACATCAGTCAACCTCAAATACTGAGAGCTGACAAAGGTTCACGGACTGTGTCCATCATACTCCAGGTCACGTATGGTGTTAAACAATGACAGGAGAGGACAGCGGGGAGTTTAGACAGACGGCTCCACGCTGAGGACAAAAAGCCTAAAATCCAGAAATGCTGCAAAAACCAAAAACATGAGCAACACAAACTGGATCGGGCTCTCCCGGTACGAACTGCTACCGACCGGTTAGTCGGCGTGAATACCTCCGTGGCAGCAGAAGATCTTCTCGTCCACGATGGCAGCGATGGGCAGGCAGTTGAAGCAGTCAGTGAACGTCTTCCACAGCTTGATGTTGAATCTGCGTTTACCTGCGAAATGAGCGAGACGCCGAGTCAGCACACCTCGTGGCAAAGAGGAACCGTGTTCCTGTTCTACTCTGATAATGTCCCTTATTTTATGACTTTACACTCCGTTATTTCTCTTGTTTTACAAAAACAGAACCCTTTTGTTGCAGGTTTGTGTCTATTTTATACTTGCAGCTACAACGTTAATTTTAATATCTTTTGTCATATTTAAAAATCACAGTAGGTCCAAGTGATAATGATCCATTTTAAAGAATAAAAAGTATCACTTCTTTACCCTTTGTTCACCAAATCCCCCCATTAACGAGTCTATTCAAAGGCTGGACCCCAATATTCAGATATTCATTTTTGTTTTTTTAACCCCTCGGGATTACAAACGTGCATAAAACATACTAAACCTTTTGGAAATTGCTTCTTACTCACGAACAAATAAAAATACAAACACCAACACAGTAGAATAACAGAATGCTTCAAAATGAATGCCTTAAATGAAGACACCTGTTGCAGCGCCATGTCGTCCATCTCCGTGCCTCAAACGGGACTTTGAGGTACGACGCGAGTCGACCGTTCTGGTCACAGGCTAGTGTGTCCGGTCATTACATAATAGAACTACATCGACCACAATGGGAAGTGAAAATGACAGACACTCCACTCCAGCACCCCGACACGCGAACAGAGCACTCACACTCGTCATAGAAGCCGTAGATGCGGTTGATGGAGGCACACTCGTGGTTGCCCCTCAGCAGGAAGAAGTTCTCGGGGTATTTGATCTTGTAGGCCAGCAGCAGGCAGATGGTCTCCAGAGACTGCTTCCCCCGGTCCACGTAGTCGCCCAGGAACAGGTAGTTGGCCTCCGGAGGGAAGCCGCCGTACTCGAAGAGCCTCAGCAGGTCTGTGTACTGTCCGTGGATGTCACCTGTGTGGGATGGGGGTGAGCAACAGTGG